TTTCAAATTTGTTATTGGATTTATTTTTTAGGGGTTTTGTTGTTTTGCAATTTAACTGGGCATTTGGGAGGTTCACATATATCACACCAACACACACACAGAAATACTCTTTCAAAACAATGGCCATAACTGAATTTTTCCAAAAACAAAAAAAAAGAGCAAAAATATATCCCAAAAAGCATAAATAAAACAAACGGAGCGCTGCTGCTGTTGTTGTGACAGATTTATTGCTGTAAGTTCAATGTTGTTGTTGTCCAGTACTATTTTATATGCCCCAAACTCTAGTTATTAGCATTGTTGCGGCTGCTGCTACTACTGCTGTTATGCTATCCTCCAGCAGGCAGGTTACGGGGTTCAAGGCATTTAATATTTCTTGTCACTTATGTGTGTGTCTGTGTGTGAGTTTATGTTTTCAGCAAAATAATGTAGTTCAAGTTTAAATTTATTATGACCCAGTCGAAAGTGAAATTTATTTTGCAAAAGTCTTTAAAAGTTTTATAAGTATAATAATTTAATTTATAACTCTTTTATTAATTTATAAAAAATATTAAAAAAATAGGAAGTATAGTGAACATTATTTAATAATTAAGGAAATTGTGGAATAAACGTGGAGTGATATTTTTTAAGGACCAATAGGGTCTTAAGCGTGAATTTTTAAAGAATCTTATTTTTTAAGGAGTCCTGTATGTTTTAAGAAAATATTTTTAAGGAAAAATAGAGCTCCAAGCTTTTATTTCTAAAGATTATTTTTTATGAACACAGCTATTTGCGAGAAATGTTAAAGAATATTTTTTGGAGGCTCAATAGAGCCCAGTATATTCTAGCAGCCTTACCTTGCAATTTTGTTTATACCCTCCACCATAAGGTGGAGCGTATTCGGTATTTTGGCGATTTAGGATACGTTTTCCAACCGAATTGGCTGCAATCTTTGTACCAAAAATTATTAATATTGACCCAGGTTTCGGGGTAGCCCCCCTATAACGGTACCTCAAAATATTCGGTATTTTGAACAGGCTTTTCAGCCGAGTTGGCTGTAATTGAATATTTTAGTTTCTGATTGAATAACACATATCCGTGAAAAAATTATTAATATTGATCCAAGTTTCAGGGTAGGTCCAATATATAACGGTACTCCCACATACTCGGTATTTTGGCAAATTTTGGACACTTTTTTCGCCGAATCGACTGTAATTGAGTATTTTGGATTTTCACTGCATAGCACATACCAGTACTAAAAATTATTAATACTGACCCAAGTTTCGGGGTAGCCCCCAATAACGGTATCTCCCAATATTCGGTATTTTGGAGATTTTGCGCAGGCTTTTCAACCACTTGACTGTAATTTGTATTTTTATTGCATAGCACATCCTTGTACTAAACATTATTACTATTGAATCATGTTTAAGTGTAGCCCCATATAACGGGGATACCCCCACATCTCTGTACTAAACATTAATAGAATTGGGAAAGTTGGACACGTTTTTCAACCGAATTGGCTGTAATTTGTATTGGAAGGAGTAGACCGATGGGTGTCATCTTCCGATTCTATCTAGACTAGGTAAAAATATTAAATGTGCATAGTTTGGGCGACATTTGGATGATATTTCGTTCACTTCATATAATACATAAAAATTTCAAACTGTGGACCTTTTTTGGGGGAGATACTAGAAGGATTATCGGTCCACTCCTTCTATTATCTCCCCCAAAAAGGGTCCAATCTCCTAACAATATGAACGTATGGTAAAAGTAGTAGGTTGTGCAAAGTTTGGTTTGAATCGAATGCTTTTTTGAGCACAATTCTGGCAATTTTTTAGAAGATGTACCAGAGGGAGTGAAACGATCTTCCCCATCTTCGAACTTAATTTAGTGTTGTTAAAAATACGACTGTTGGCAGAAATCTGGGTCAAATCGGACATATTGCGTTTATAAATATTGAAAATGTTGACCATTTTTAGGGAAGGTACCTGACAGAGGCTTGTTAAAGATATTAGGTTTTGCAAAGTTTAGCCAGACAGGCGGACATTTGTAAATCGAATTCAATTTGTGTGACATGGATTTGGTCCAAGGAAATATGGAGATAATAAAATTAACAACCCTATATTGATAAAAAAAACGCATTAGCGGAGCAGTATAGTCGAACGGAATCGACTATACTGATACATAACCACCACTGAATTTTAACTTTCTACGATTCTATATTCCGAACATGTGCAATATTTCTGTACATTTCATCATCTTCAACAATTAGAGGTCAACAGTTCCCCTATTTCTAATAATGTTTCCCAGAGTGATCGCCATAAGATTCAAATGTGGTTATTTTACACATAAAAATCTTGGTTCTTTTGAACCTCTGCATATTTACCAGATCCCCTTCCGCGTAAAAATGTTGTAATGTTCGGCTTATAATTGTAACCTCTAAGCGACTAAAAGATCAGAAAAACATAAAGTTTTCTGTCAATTTTATCCTCTAAATACCATCTGCTAATAAGCGAAAATTAAAGGCGGCATTGTTGGCCATAACCGGAACTTATGCAAAATTTCAATGCGCAATTGTAACACCAAATAATATCATCTAGGTATTTATGTATATATTTACGTATAAATTCCACATCTGAGTACTTATACAATATAATAGGTATCAATATAATGGTCAACCACTCCGCTTGGATATAGGGTCTCCGTTCTATGTCCTTCAAGAGTAAATATATAGAGTTTAAAATTTGTAATTTTGGTCTCTTGGTCTCTTTGACCTACTAAATATTGACCAATTACAGTGGAAAGAGTCATGTTTTTTGGCCATATTCCCTTCTCCGTGTAAAATTTCGTTGTGTACCTGTCACAATCGTGGCCTCTAGAACGACCAGAAAAGTTGTCAGTGAAGTTTTTGGTCCATTTGATCATAAATGAGGCATGTATCGTGATAAGGACAGACGAAAGCACACACATGTCTAGATCGACTCACCTAGTCGAGATATGACTATCATAGACTAAAAGGTGGGTCTATGACCAATATTTCGTGGCCTTATAAACTCTTGGGGCCACACAAAGCTATAATACCAGCTACTATAAAGTCCAGTTACTGTATTTGGAGTTGAGAATCTTTGCCTCAATCAAGAGTGAGCACATACGACATATCTACTTTTCGGCTCGAGTCTTTCATAAAATTAAGACTTCTGAATCTATGCTGTTTCTCAGTCCAGGGCACACGTTGCGAATCTTGAAAAATTAACCCTCGGATTCTTTTTCGAACTAGGGTAAAAAAGATAACTGCTATTACAAAGTCCTGCTCAGAACTTAAAATCAATATTATAGGACTTGGACAAAGGGTGTCTTTCCGAAAACTTTGATTTAAATAAAATTTGTTGAGGGGTAAAAATTCCATACACCGCACTATGGGGCAGAGATATAAATATCATATATAAGGGTTTCGTTGACGCTCATTATGATACTAAAAGAAAAATTTACAAATTTAATAGCGTAGATGGAAAATGCCTGTCAAAATTTTTAAAAGTTAAATAGCAAAAAATCGCTTTTTTATGTATTATGCATTCCTTAATTAATTTAATTTTAGCCGATTTGGATGAAGATGTGCTCAATATGGGGGTCCGTTTATATAGAGGGTACCTTGAAACTTAGTTAATTATCATAATTTTTGTACGAAGATATCAAAACCAAAGATAATTCAAAATAATAAACTTTGAACGGTCTTGAACTGTCGAAAAATTTTGGACAGAAAATGTACCAAGACGTCGATTGATGATATAACCATTAAAATATCCTCTGTCACTGGGTTCTGGAAATCAATTTTATTATTATTATTATTTTTAAATATCTTATGTATGGATTTTAATTACGATTTTTTATGATTATCTTAACATTAGTAATAATTTTCACCTCATCCACCATTTCCACCTGTTTAATTTGCCATAATTCAATTTAATATTTAATATTTTGATTTTAACTTTTTGCCATATATTTTGATTTTGACTTTTGGGTTCCTGACCCAAAAATGCGCCGTACATATTCCTTCTATTTTAGTCAATTTTTCATATCCCTCTAAATTTTGTTCCACAGTGTTATATTAGATTATTTACTTATCGGTCTCCTATTATATTAATCCATATTTTGTTAGGCTAATAAAAAATAATTTCTTTGTCCGTCTACCAGAATTACATATAGTTCACAAATATATTACTTCGATATTTTTTTACAAAAAATTATCCCCTTTTGATAAATTATTCTGGCAAAGCATAAACAAAGATTTTCAACAACATTACCCCCACCCTTCCTGTGGGACATAAGCAATGAATATTTTATTGACATATTTATGTCTAATAATAAAATCGGAGGGGGCATAAATTTGACTATGAATAGATGATAAGCTAATGGCAAATGTGAAATCATAGAACCGAAAAAAGGACACAAGAAAACAAACAAATAAACTAAAATTAAATGCAAACGAATGGATGGAACTTAACGTAAAAATGTAACAAAATCAAATGTCCTTTTTAGGATCACAAAGAAACAACAACTACAAATACCGGCTAATGGCAGACAAAAAGGACACAATTTAAATATTAAATCAGACGGCTTTGTGGATTCAAAGGAAGAAACTAGACAGAAAAAATACTTTATCATTTCTATGGTTGTTTTTGCAGAAAAAATAATAATAAAACTTCATTTGGCTTTTTTTCTTTAGCATTTTGGACGATGACTCGAAAAGTCCTAGAGGGGGTTTGAAATAGAATTCCTTTGGGGCAATACACAAGTTTTATTAGTATTTTCAGAAAAAAAATCTAAATGTAGCTGCCCAGTATGTCACCATTGGAGTGCTATAACCCACGCCCCTGTTTTTTCCCACACAAACCAAATCAAATTGAATTATCAACTGAAAATTTCTTTTAATTTCCTCTTATATTTCTATGCCAAAATAATACCCCAAAAAACAAATTTATTTTTCATATCATGTTTTTGTTGGTTATTTACATTTCTTTTTTAAGGGTCTCTTTTGGGCATTGGCTTGTATTTGGCTGATTTATCCCGGTACACGTATACCCCATATCAAAGGCGAAGCAATGAATGAGACATCCGCATATCCATTCCTCTATACTGACTATTTACCAACTGAGTTTTTGATCAATGGCATTGTTTCGTGTCTGCTAACGGTTGTGAATGTGATTTGCATTTTTATTACCGCCATAATAGTGTTGAAAATTAAGGAAGTCTCGGCGCCATATACCGCCAGTCCGGATTTAAAACGGTAAGTACACCAATGGGAGAGATTTGCGAATTGAAACAAAAAATTCAATCTCTTGCTGTGGAAATATTTTAAAACGATAAATGTGAATGATATATAATGACATTAAATCATAAATAAATGTCAGGGTCACAATGAAGAATAAGAAGATGAAAACAAATATGAACCATCAGAATAATAACAAAGATGGGTTGGGAGAGATCATACTGTGAAACCTTGACAAAATAAGATAAACTTGTAATCATTGGCCATTATTATGGCTCCAAGAGGGATTACATGAAAGAAAATCCTTTAAAAATAATGATAATAGCTATTACTTGTTTGGAGAATTTAATAAATGATAAGACACAAAATAACAAGTAAAACAGTAAAATTAACTTCGGCAAGGTCAAATTACAAAATTAACTGAAGGTCAATGGTGCTATCTTTAAACAACAGAATACAATTGTTTTTGCCAAAATGTTTGATTTCACTGCCATTGACATAACAGTTATACTGTTTTTGATATTTCCAGCGCAAACCAATTCCGGTGTATACAGTGGTTGAGACACAGTTGATGACGTGCTCGGGTGACCAGGAGTAGCATCGTCATTAAAAATATTTTCTGGGCTTTCATTAAGCGTTTAACAACTGACAATAAAAAAACGAAACTACCAGCAACCCACCCAAATCACCACAACGATTTATTGGAAATCATATCAAAACAGATATAGATAATTCCCCTCAGGAGATTAAAAAAACGATTCTTTAAATCCATACAAGATGTGCACGTGTTTTCTGTCAAGGTTAGGGCAATAGTAAAGCAAAACCGTATAACAATAATAATTGATTTGAAATTGAGTTTTAAATTATATAAAAATATACGTAAAAAAGTGTCGGTGTGGTGGGAGAATGGTGTTTAAGACAGATTTTTCTCATTAAAAAAAAAAACGAGATAACAGAAAGAAATAAGAAAAAACATAAATATCGTTTTTTTCTAACCTCAAGGAAGCATGTGTGGTATATTTGAACTGAAAAAAACTGATAACAAAAAGTTTAGGGTGGGTGAAGAAATAATAATACGACTATATGTTTTTATCGTCCATTGGGATGGTGGAAAATATAAGAAAGACGTTAAATTAAAAATGAAAAAATAAAGAAAACCCACAATATTTTCCGTTTAAAAAGAAAAAAGTTTTATAAGGATTATTTGGAAATTAAGAAACTAGTTTCGAGGATAGTAGGAAATATAGTAAGTATGCTTATTGTATAAAAAGCTTCACATACGAGGTCTGATCGATAAAGATTTTAAAATTTCGAGTAGTGGTTTGGAGTGCTCTTCGATTTCTTACTATTCGATAAGAAATTAAACAAAAGCGAAAGTGCATTTTAAATGAAATGTCCAATTGTGGAAAAACCGGTTTAAGGAAGGTCTAAAAAATTTCATTGACGATGCTTATCCTGGCCGGCCAAGCACGTTAAGAATCATTGAAATTATTATAGCAGTGAAGAACAAGATTTTAGATACTCGGCGAAAAACTATCAAAGAGGCTGTTGCCGTGACAAGGAGGTTTTGTTTTAACAAGGTTTTCTACGGCTGCAAACAGAAGTCGCATAGAACCACAGCATTGTGCTGATAGGCATGAGGTCGCTTAACACCTCAATGTTAGTGTGTCATCATTTAGGGTGGAGGACTCGAAACCCATGGTATTTGCATAATTATAGGAGAATTTTTCTCTCAAACACTCCAAGAGCTGCCTCATCTGCTTGCGTAAGTATCCATGCTTCAGATCCGTATAACAGCACGGGTAGTATAAGCGTCTTGTAGAGTGTGATATACGGTACTCCCCATTATTCGATATTTTGGGGATTTCGGATACATTTTTCAAAGGACCTGTTTTATAATTTGATAGTTTGGGTTCGCAATGCTTGTAAAATCTTCCCACCAAAAATTATCAATATCGTTCATCAGTTTGGTGAAGTTATTCCTTATTTTTGGTATTTAAGGATTTCGATATCTTCAAGGTCTTTGTCCAGTTTTAAAACCTGAGAGTCCGTAATATGATACTGTGATATTATGTTTATGGACCCATGTTTTATGGTAGCTTCCACGGCACTCCCCATTACTTCGTATTGAGAGAATTTCTGGTACATTTTTCAGCAGGTTTGGCTCTAATTTCATATTAACAATTATCAATATTAGTCATGGGTTTGGTATTTTGAGTATTTCGATATGTTAAGGCCTTAGCCCTATTTTGCAACCTGAGAGGCTGTAGTGTGTTAATTCGTTTTCTCCTGACAGCATTTCACCATCACCCAAATAAAAATGCCTATTGATTTTAGATATTTTGAATGAACACATCAAGGTTAAGTGCGGAATGTCCGATTTGAATACAAATTTGCACAACCTATTATCTTTACCAAGCCTATATCAAACCCGAAGGTCCTCTCCTTCTTGTGCCTCCACAAAGGGTCAATATTTTATAAATTTAATTTGAAGTGAATTGATCAATATTCAATCCGAAACCTTTTATAAAACCATATGCCTTATATAAAGCGAATAATAAAACCTATGTATATATATATATATATATATATCTGTCGGCAACTCCGACTGAAACTTTTTTTACTTTTTTTATCCAAAAATATTAATATTACACATATTATTCTAATGACAAATTTTCTTAAATATTATTTAAAAACTGATATTCTTCATTTTATTTCCCATACAATACCAACCACATAAGGTAATACAGACACAATATCATTGTCTTCATTTTCTAAAAGAAATATGATTAAGTTGTTTCCATGAGCTTCTTTGCTTTAAGATTTTTATAGTTGTTTATATTCAATGCAATATAAAAAATAAAAAATAGGTTTTTATTTTCTTATTTAAAATCTCTGCCACAAGGATAAGAAAAAACAACAACATAAGAATATCAATTAAATTTTAAAGAGTTCATTAAATTTCTTACCCATGCAAAGTAAAAATATATTTATTTTCTTAGTTTTTTTTTTGTGGTTAGATCCTTAGAGAATAAAACTAAAAATCTTTTCAATTTAGTAAAAAGCCAGGAGATAAACATGTAATACATATTTTTTCTATTATGGTTTTTATTCATTCCATTCATTTTATAAAGAACAACAGCAATGAGTGTTTGTGTGCGTGTGTGAGTGTATGTGTGCAATGCAATTCCCAACATTTTAGATTGTTGCCTAAATGTATGCTATGGAATTTAATATTGTACCGTTTTTTGTCTGTTTGGTTTAAAATTCTATTTAACATTGTGTGTATGTTTTGATATTTGTATTTTTTGTTGTTGGTAGTTTGCAAATGGACACAAGGGTAAAGTTAGATATGGTTATGGTTTTCATTAGTCATTTTGGGAGTGTGTCTATATATGTGTGTGTGTGTGAGTTGGTGAACGTAAGTGTAGACAATCTAAACAATCCAACTAAACACTGGCTATGCCAAGCCATACTTAACAAGAGAACTGGGAAATCGAATATTTGCTTGTTGGCAAGCTGTCTACTAGCTTCAATGTCTCTCGTTGCGAATGAAATAAAAAATCTAGAAAAATTCTTGAAAGGCATTTTCTATAAGATTTAAGTTTCGTAGTTCTTGGGTTTTTTGTGGAAAGGTATTTCATCCAAAAAAACGAAAACTACATCACTTGTATAAATTTGTAGTTTCAAGTTTACTCTGCTGTTATTGCTAAGAACAAAAACTGAACCCTTGTATTTGGCTGTATTGGTTGCTACTGCTGCCGCTTAAGAGAGGTATTTGTCAGGCAAGTACATTGTCGGATTTCTTGTTTATTTTGTTGTTCTTACTTGAGGCCATGCCAAACTAGTAACGAAATATCGCACACAAACACCGAGACATATTTACGCAAACAAAAAATATTGTTGGACAATATTTGCCAAATAGTGCTGCTGATGAATCCGAACACATACAGATTTATACCAATGTATATATATGTGTGCGTTTGAATTTCACTTTTTTGTTGTTGGCTAGGTAACACTATTTGTGTTGGTGTTAGTTTACTTTGAACAATATTAGTCTGGCGTCTTCTTAGCTTATTTTTTTTTTTGGTAAATACAATTTTGTTGTTGTTTTGCTTAGGATAAGGTAAATTGAGACCTTTAAGCATACAATAAGCCAGGTGTAAGAAAATTGTTTTTTCTCTATTCTTGCCGATATGAATGAAGTATATCCTGAAGGTGTCAATCAGAATTTTTGCAGACAGTTTATGAAATTTGGTGTAATCTGAAGGCTAAAGGTAATTTGGGGTTGTTTCTTTGCTGGTAGGAAAATATTAAATATTTAATAAATAATATTAAAAGTATTATATAGGTATATATAGATCACTGTTCACCAAACAGGCGCCCGCGGGCGCTTTGGGAGAGTACCAATACAATATTTCAACATAAATCGAACATGTATGCAATAACATAAGATCTGTACGAAGAGAGCGAAAATTACTCTCCCAACGGATCTATGCGTGTTATATAGGCTATATATAGATATTTATCCTTTGCAAAATTTGTAGCATATTTTTGGGGGCATTTACTCAATAATATTATACTAGTTAGTTTATGAGTGAAGAACTACATGGAATATGGCTTGGAAAAGAAAGTTAAATTTAACAGGGCCGAAATGCTTACATTTCGACATGATTAAAATTTAAAACCTTTAAAAATTTACCAAACAATTAAATCTAAAGATTGACCGGTATATCATCAGGGGAATCAAGAGCACGATTAGAATTATTCTGAGGTTAAGTGTATCGCCATCAATAATATAGAAGGCTACGATATTTCTTAAAACTCTACCTGCCATTACACAACTTTAACACTAGATTGCCGAAGACGGTCATTTTGACCGTTTTTCAATTTCAAGTACAACCAATATGGAAAGTAGTAAAGTCGGACTGGGCCGACCACAGGGACGTAAGCAGGGGGGAGCCCTGGGGGCCCGGCCCCCCAGCCCCAAATTAATTTTTTCACAGTAAATTTATGTT